TAATTAAAGTTTATCATTAAATAGAAAGAACAATTATATATATTTAGATAAGAAATAATATATAAATAAGCCGGCGCGACTTTAATCAAAAAATTATTTCGGCTTAGCTCTCGATATGAAGGGCATCACCTGTGTTTTATTAGTGTGTGTATTTATTTCTTCAAGTCTCGCCCAATGGGACAATCATTGGCAAGCGGGTAGAAGTACCATTGTGCATCTTTTTGAATGGAAATGGGACGACATTGCCGACGAATGTGAAAGGTTTTTGGCACCCAAAGGGTATGCTGGAGTCCAGGTAAAATAACAAATAGAAAGCAAAAGATAAGAAATTAAACATTATTTGGTTACCAAAAGATTCCTTAGCTCAGTTACCTACATTCGCAACGTCCCTACGTAGGGAACTGAGCTAAGCTTTTATTCCAGTCCCATGAGTATTTTTTATCCTTAAGATTCTTGTGTAATTAAAAGAAATACTCACCCCTAATTAGCACAAAAAGCTTTATTTAAGCGGACACGTGTTTCGACCACTTCATCAACGCGAGACTGATAATGCCCACGTATGAAGTGGGCAAAACACGTGTCCGCTCAAATAAAGTTTTTTGTGGTAATTAGGGGTGAGTATTCCTTTTAATTTTTAATTAATATTTACCACAGTCTCCTCTTTCTACTTTAAACATTTGGGGTTTTAAAGTCTTAGTTATAGCGAGTCTAAACTGGACTTTATTCCAGTCCTGTGGGAATTCATTACTTTTGAGATTAAAAGAATATAATTTTTGGGATTTTAAAAATAATTCTAGTCTATTGTTTTATTTTCATGGTAATTTTTTTTGCCACTGTTCGCAGATATCTCCGCCAAGCGAAAACGTCATTGTAACCGATCAGGCTTATAGACCATGGTGGGAAAGGTATCAGCCAATAAGTTACAACCTTGTTACTAGGTCTGGTAACGAGGAACAATTCATTAACATGGTGAGAAGATGCAATAATGTGGGGGTAAGGTAGGTGTGTACTCAGTAAANGTATTCGCAAAAATATATTTTTTTGTCAAAACAGAACACGTCACCTTACGACATCCTGCAGCGTTTTCATATCATGCAAATTCAAATTGTCTTCAATCATTTCATCAAAACACATGTCGCTTCTATTATCATAAAAATTAAAATTGGTTAATTAGATTTATTTAAGCTAAATTCGTTTGCGTATGTAAAAGGCCTAAATTTTCATCAAAAATTTGTTCATATTCTATTAAATGAAAAAAGAATCTTCCTTACTTTAGGTGAAGACAATATCAACCTAGGTTTAAACCTATATACGACTTTGGATTTTAAAATTCAAAATTTAGAATCGGGTGCTATTTAGGTATTTTGTGTATCAAATTTTATTTAATAAATAATAGCTGAAAAAGCTTTCTGATATTCTTACTCTTTATTTTGTGGAAAATACTTAATAACCAACAACGCTTTGGGTATAACCGATTATAATTAAACAAAAATTGGTTTTTCATTTTAGTTAAGCATTCAATGTTAATTTATCTATGTACTTAATTAATTTTGGGTTCAAACAACAAAAAGGAAAAACGTGTCCCAATTAAAAAGTTTTCATTGTAAATACGAAACTTTAATTAATAAAGAGATATTTTATAATCACAATCCCCTATCTTCTTTCGTTAAATTTTTTGTTTATGTTTGCACAATTAAAATTCATATAACGTTCCTAATAATATTTTTTTTGAAAGGTAATTGTTTTTCATATCTACTAGATAGGAAGATTATAAGCTTGTGTACTTCTGTCGCTTTAAATTAAGTCGAATTTTGAAGTGTGAATAACACTTAAGTTGATGTCAGATTAACTTAATTTGTCTAATTGTTAATTAAAAGAAACGTTTGTTTTATTGAGGTGTGAGATCTGAACTAACAACAAAAATGTTTTAAATTATATTAAAAAAAGACACTAACGCCACTTTTTAATTCTTGAACCATCTGGTTTTTCGCAAAAATTAACATTTTGTGCGGTCTCTTCGGCGCCATAATGAATTACAAAGTTCCGGTAATTTCCCGAATTACACGAAGCTACAGCAAGAAGTGC